ACGTCGGCAGCCACGTCAGCAGGCCCGGTCAGCGGTCCCGGCCAACCGAGACCTGCCACGTGAAAAAACCACGTCGTTCCAAAAAGGGCCACGTTGGCGATCCGCGTGGGCGCGATCGGACGGCCCAGATTCAATCAAAAACGGACGGCCCAGATTAAAACAAAATGGACGGCTGAGATCAAAAGGCAAGGGGTTATAAATAGAACCCCCACACCAGACCACAAACCCTAGCCGCCGCCGCCGCCACCCGCCGCCGCACCGGAGGAACTTCCGACCGCCGATCGAGGTAAATTTCGTACCCCCGACTCGTTTTTCCACGCTGATTCCTCCTGTGGCCAAATCGGAGCCAAAATCCCGGCCAAACGGCCGGAATGCACGGCCGAAGCCCAGCGGCGCTGCCGCGCCCTTCTCAGTTTTTGCCTCCGATGAGGCCCTTCCCGGCCTCCGTTTGATGCAATTTTTATATCACCGTGATCACCACTCTTTTCTCTACAGGTTGACCGGAGCCGAATCATCAAAACACGAACCTCGCCAGAGAGCCGCCGCACCCGAGAGCGCCGCCGCCGGTAAGCTCCATTTTTCCGTGATTTTTTGGCCCCCCGAGGGCCCTAGGGTTGTTTTCTCGCAGAGACCGATGCGAGTGTGGCCGAATTCGGCCGGAAACGGTCGAAAACAGCCAACCCGAGGCGAATCGCCGTCGCCGGAGCACGGCGAAGCCGCCGTGCCGGAGTTGCGATTAGGGCCGAAAGGGGCCCTGGGTCTAATTTGGAATTTTTTTGGAACATGTGCAGGTACCAGTAGTGCGTTTCAGTTCCCCGAGGAAATTCAGGGAAAATTAGGGACAGCCTGCAAGCGCACTGTGAAGCCGTGTTCGGACCCCTCACCTTATTTCCTATCACGGTTTTAAAGTTCAATAAATGATAAAACGGTATTTCATGAATCAACGAATGTGTGAAATTGCTTAAGGTCGGTAATGGAGCCCGAGTTTAGTGTGTTGGTCGGTTAATTGTTATTTGGCCTGTTTTACAGTTTTAAACGTAACATGAGGTGTGATGTTCTCATGATATAGTTTCGTGTGCATGTTTTACTGTTTTATTGATTATGGATTAAATAACCGGCAAATGGATGTTTTATTCAGAGGTTCCGGTAGTAGGTTTAAAATAAGAAATATCTCAAATCAATTAGGAATGCCAAAAAAGAC